AGAGTCCTTGATATACCTTGAAGAAAGGTATTTTTCTGGTGCTAGAAAGAGTTGTTCACTAAAATGTATGGTAAACGAGATGTATATTATTATATGTGATAGCTGTAGTGCATGTACTTGTTAAACAATAATTATTTTCTTTGGAGAACCACACAACTGACTTTGGACGAAGACATTTGGTGAAATTAATTCTAAATTGGAACAGAATAGTACAAGTTGTAATTCAAAGTGAAAAATCTGAACATTTGTATAGAACTTCGTCTGACGTCATCATCTATTAATATAAAATAAATATAATTAAGTTTTGTTATTAATTAGCAACAGAAAATAGAAAAAGATAATTATAATTAAGTTTTGTTGCTAATTATCAAACAAAATTAGATAAAGATACTTATAATTAATTGTTGCTATTAATTATCAACAAAACTGGACAAAGATAATTAGAATTAAGTTTTTCTGTTAATTATCAACAAAATTAGACAAGGATACTTATAATTAATTGTTGCTATTAATAATCAACAAAAATGGACAAAGATAATTAGAATTAAGTTTTGCTGTTAATTGTCAACAAAAGTAAAGAAATATATAAAAGTAGAGAAATATATAATTGTAATTAAGTTTTGCTGTTAATTATCAACAAAAATAGACACAAAAAAATTATAAAAAATGAAAAAATGTTAGCAGAGCCAATGCAGTTAATTTCTACTGATCTAAAACGATTTGTAAAGTTAATATTATCGGCAAGTGGAGGAGACGGATCGTTCACATAATGGAACTGGAATTATATTTGCAAACGTCTAGTTAGTTTGAAAATAATCATTATGGTAGCTATTTACGATATCATTGGTTCTTTGGTATCGCGATATTCGAGGTTTTTGGTAATTTTCTGCATAGCACCACCTATCGTGTTATATACACTGAATGACCATATGTTACTAGTCCTGCGTCACCAGTTTTATTTTGGGAAAATGTCGGAATTCCTGGCGAGTGCATTTTTCAAAAGATGTGCCCATGGATTTCACTTTTTTCAAAACATGTCCGTACCCCATGTTCTCAAAAAAAATCTTTATCTTCTTAAAATCGATATTACTATAATGAATCGATCAACTTGTCTGTCATTTGATAATATCCAAAGTATTTTTGTTTGGTCAGGAAGCATGGTGTTTTTGTTTGGTCAGGAAGCATGGTGTCAAATCTATGGTAGCAAAAAGGAGTCAAAATATGAAGGATGTTAATGATGTTTTTGGTGGTTTTCGCAATTGACATGCGTTGACTAAAAAAAAACAACAACATTGTTGTACATAATTCATTACCTTTCGTTGAAACATCTGGATTTGTTTAAACAGTGTTTGTCCACATGTTATGTTATGTTATGTTGGTGTACCAATTCTCATCCACAATCCTGGCGCCCACCCACCCCCGGTCACAAGTGGCTTCATATGCATTGTTTTAATTAACTCAGATATGTTTCTTTTGATGGTGCATACAGGTGATAGAATGACACCATTGAAATTGCATCCAAGTTTCAAATTGATTACAGTGTGTGCAGCATACATATCAAGAGCCTAACGTTAGGACAAGTATATGCCATCGTAAAAATATTTTTTGGCATTACCGCGATATCAGAGTAACGTCCCTAGCATAACTTGGAACCTACATGGCGTCTATTTATCGATTATTTCCCACAATCATCTGATTTAAATAAACATGAATTTAATTGTGTGTTAACATAGAGCAAAGAACACCAAACAGGTACATATAATGTCTTGATGGTCAGTATCTATATTCACTTATTCGTCGATCGCTAAATGTATGGCCCGCGACACCATAGAACTCCAGTATTCTGTTAATACTATATCTATCCTTTCTTCGTGACGTCAGGCACCATGACCGCAAGTCATTAAATGCGTTTGGAAAATTTGTTTTCATGATGCATTAGTTTTGAAAGGAAAATATATTTATTTCACTTTATAAGTTAACTGAGAAATTTATATTTCTGTTTTCATGTTATTTGCAAAAGTATGTTTATATTTATCCCAAACGTTCGGTTCAAAGTTATAATTGCTATCACTTGTTCCGTTTTCGGCCTGCATCTTTCACCCTGATTATCTTTCTGTGTGTTACTAGCAAAGTTAAGATTTTATCTGCTAATAATTGAAACAACGCCTTCGCTTCACACCGTGCTTGCAAAAACAGGATATAAGTTTTTCGTTAATTGTTTGTTTAGCTAATACTCAAGGACCGCAATCAACGTGTTACTAACCAATCCCTTGATTTAAAGTGTGACATCATCGCCATCATTTCTGGCAACGCCTATTGTTACATTCAAAAGGATGCATATGTCTCAAAATCCTACTCGAGTTCAATCGGAACTAATTTTCCATGGACGTACGGTTTTAAATGAAGTGATTGGCATTCATAAAAGCAAGAACATATTCTAAAGAAATGTAATGTACTTTGTTTAAGACGAACAAGTACTGCAATTGCTCACTTGTAAACACTGCCGTAAGTAGGTTGACAAGCGTACTGATAACATTCGAAGCAACCCGCTTTCTCCTGCTGGAAATGTAAATTGTTGTATCAATATTTCGTGAATAAAGTAGTTTTTGCGACAACTACGGGCGGTTTTTTTATTTGAAGAAAAAAACAACAGACTTCTCATAATCTCTAGGACCTTACGCTGAACTATATGGGAGTATGTTGAATGTGAGATAATTATTTTGCATGATTATGACCTTCAAAGAACAAATTTGTCACATGGGCTAAAACTTGTTTTGCCGAGGGAATGCGACCTTTTTACAAGAATGTTGCACTCGGCACAAAATACATACTACAAGTGTAATAGTTTTGTGTATTATTATATCTTTGTGAAGTGTATGCAGTTAAACATAACTTTTTATGCATATAAGAATTTTGGATCTTTAGATATTGCAAGAAATGTCTTCTGTGGATGAAAATGTCAATTACCTGCAACATTTGTCGTTGTATTTTTATGCAGAACTCAAAATTATCCCCCAAGTCTGATACGTTTTTGTATAACGTGATGGTGATTATGATGGTGCTAGTGGTAACAATGGTGACTAACACACAAAAAATGCACATTGGCAATGACAATGAGTAAATTAAAATGTTTGAAAATGATAGAGAAACTGGGCGTTGATGATTGTTTATTGCAAACCGAAATTTAGTTGCAATCGAATTTCGGCGCAACGTCTGTTCCGAACGTAACTGCAGGTTTGCCATGGTGAAAAATTCACTTTTGAATGCAGAAATAAACAAATTCAAGAAGCAACATCAATAGATGTAAACTCACAATCAAAATCTTTCGTATGAACATGTTTCGCTTTGAAATCTGTTGGATGCGACTGCTCTGTGACGTTTGTAAAGTACTTCAATCCGAACGATGTTTACTGTATTAATCCGCCAACGTTACGTTATCACAAAAACAAAAGTCTCTTTTTTCTGCCTCAAAATAGTCAACAGACTGATACAGTATTCAGTTTGAAGCATTATATGTATATCATAGAGTATTTGAATAATCTCTGTTCTTTATGTGCATGTGTACCAGACTTATTCATGTACCAGACTGGCTGTAAGGAATTGAAATTTTGTACCGCAAATATGGCAAATATTCCATAATATACTCGTGAGACCCTTTCAAGGTTTTCATTATGTACTAATCCAAAATGACTACGTCTGTTTCATTTTAAAATTGTCATTTTCAAATTATCACTAAACACGTGCTGCTTTCGTGCTCTTCAGCATATTCCTTTCATCTTCATAAGCTGATTTGATGGACACCCATTCTTGCCATTGCAATACTATTCCACATTCTCATCTCGATATACACATAATCGCTTTATGATGTTACAAATCTTGGCTCGTTCATAGCAACAAATAAAGAGTGAAGTCAGCAAGCTTTTGTAAATTTTAGCAAAAATAATTTATTACCCTACAAAACAAAGTAAAATTATAAAAAAGAACAAACAGTTTGCGAATATAATCCAAAAACAACACTCCTAGTATTGAAACACACAAGTCACTAAAATGTCCTAAATGAATCCAAGTTCGAATCTCAGCGAATTTCAAAGATGGCAGACGGTGACGTCAGACGAATGAAGTATTGATATCAAAAGATCCACGTTGAATTTTATGAATCACAAAACAATTGTCAAAAGTTCCACGTTCAAGTTTATGAATCGCAAAAGAATATTCCGAATATAGCACTCTGAATAATTTCCACTTAATGTCTTTTTCCAAAGTTTTGATGACAAAGCACTTATTTTCCAAAGAATAATAATTATTCTTAAATAACAAATAACTCCAAATAGGCACAACAGAAAATACTTCTGATTGTTTAAGGTACTTTTACTACTACTCATAATCACTAAAAACGTTGGTCTTAAACACAAGTTTAGATCACGCAATAAGTCACGTGGTCATTTACTTCACACGTGGGCCCAAATGTTTATGACACAAGGTGATCACGCGAGTAATGCATGTATGTCCTTGATACTGACAAATCATTTAAACTTAATGTAACCAAGTGTCTGAACGAGGTCAGCTAAAATAATGCTAATAAAATACTTTTCAGTTCTGTACAAACAGTGTGTACTTTATGAAAATATCGAATCCGTGAAAATAATCACTGCAATAAAATGCAGTGAAACAAAAGTAAAAAAGCAAGAATTTTAAAACACACAAACAGTTTAATTACATATAAAACTTGTCTATTGCTGCGGTTAGTCTAACGGATGCTGCCCTATTGAAGTCCATCCCGTCCGTCCATTCCCATGACTAAGAGAAATATTAAACGTATCTTTGTAGCTCGATGGCTACGGAAGTCCCATATGTATAATTACTGCCATTGTTTACATTTCGTTCGCTTCTCCTCTATCGGTTCATTATATATTTCTGTGTGATGCGCGATTTAGATTTTTAACGTAGCTTTAACAAATTTTTAGTTTTTAGTGTTATTTTTTTTAAAAAAGTCTTTGTTATGACTCTGCCGGCGTTGGAACCCTCGACCTCCTGCATCCGAGGCGGACGCTCTAACCACTAGGCCACCGGAGAATTACCATTATACAGTTATTTTAATCGGCCTAATTTGATGCTAAAGGGTTATATAAATAAAATGTATTTTGAAACAAAAGGCAAATTTGCCCATTTCATTTGCCATTGCAATTTCTCCATTGTTGCAATGTCCTGGTGAAATCGTTTGCCGAGCTCGGCGATCACTGTCCCACCGTTCGGCGGAACAATATCTAGATGAGAGTGCAAAAAAGTAATTTTAGTGACATGTTGCAACCATGGCTTTTGCAAGGCTTGAGGAGGTTTTCTACGAACTCCTTGTAGTTGTTTCCTAGAAAAAGTGTTTCTACTAAATGGATGGTTTTCCATGCCGTCATTTCCTTGACACAAAGTGCACGGTCAAATGCATTATTTCGAAGAAGTTCACGATGGGTACCAACAAAAATACCTTCCTTTATATTAACTTCACTTAACCTTGGAAATCTTCCATGAAGGTACTGGAAAACTGTTTGTGTTTTGTCCATGGCCGTAACAAAGTTCTTCATGAGACCTTGCTTGAGGTGCAAGCCTGGTAACAAAATATCCCTTGATACAACAAATAGTGGATGCTGGGCACTTTATCTCCTAGGATTCGATGACTGTCAGAGTGGCCAGTCACTCTTTATGTAGTAGGGATTTCTCACACAAAAATCATATTCGCAGAGAAAACAACAGTATTTTGTGTATTCATTCTGTAGACCAAGCAAGAGAGCGAAAACCGTCAAATCGCCACAAAGCTGACACTGATGTTGGTCATAGTTTATTCACCTGAAAGGTTGTTTCATGTTTTCCTAGGTTCCTTTATATGGACTGAATGACCAACTGGAAATGATGGGGGAAAAATGACCACTATTCAGCAGAACAGATTTAAGACTCGTCTTCGATGAATCAATGAACAGTCTCCACTCATCTGAATCATAAACTATGTTGAGCGCTGCCATCGCACCATCGATGCTGTTGCAGGATATAATATCACCTTTCATGAAGAAGAATGGGACAAGATCACGTTATCCTGACACGATGCTGACCAGTTCTAACACAAACTCTTAATTCTGAATTCCATGCGAGGCAGCTGTCTGTACCATTTTTGTAAGTCTCTGGTATGGCTTGGCCGGGGATACAACCCACGAACTGCCAAATCCGAGGCGGACGCTCTAACCACTAAGCCACATGAGCGGTCACCTATATTAGCTATTCTAAATACATTTATCATAAGCAAGTTGTACCTCCACATTCCACTGACAGATTTTACCTTTAAAAAATAAATCAAAAGTAGAATTTTCCAGCGGTTAAGTTTTATTGTTAACAGTCTATTTTCTTAAAATAAGCAAAAGAAAGACAGAAAGCGAAACGAACACGTTTGTAAAATTCAACAGACAATGTCTTTGCATAGAATAAGGGAGACAATTTTTAAAAGGAACTTACAGTATTGTAAAATTACGGCTCCGGTGGCTTAGTGGTGGAGCGTCCTCCTACGGATCACGTAATTACATTTCCACCCTCACAAAGTTCGAGGGCCGAGAGAGTCGAGACACTAGAGAGCTTGGAGAAAGGAAAAGTGGAAAGGACCCAGAGGTAAATGTTCGATGATAATGACCAGTTGCATCTATGTAGTATTTACAGTTACATAATCAATGATTTTGCAATGATACTTTCTAATGTTTTAACCTATCAGAACACAGCAAAATGAAAAGTCATGAAAATATGGCGCATATAGCAAAAATCATCTTGTAAACTCGACAAATGTATATAAAAAAACCATGCACACATATACTGAAACTTTACAGGTGATAACACAGAAAAAAATGAATAAAAAGAATTGGAAAATCGTAGAATAAACCATAGAAACTAGGTCAATGCGACCTGACCACTGTGTACTATTAGCTTTTATCAGCAGATGCATCAACACTGCAAGTTCTTTGTATTTAGAACTGGAAGCTTCGGAATGGGACGACTAACAGACGGACGGACAACGAAAATGTGAATCGCCTGTTTGTGCAACTTATGGAATGAAGAGTGTATTGGAATTATACAATAATGTTTCTTTCGTCAGCAGTTGCACACGACAGTTTAAATTCTCGAAATCAAATCTAGAGCATTCTCACACTGCCATACACGCATGGAAATACCAGACATACATTTATCTAGTATGTAGCGAATAGTACAAAAAATAATAGAAACAAAATTTTAGAAACTATGATGATACTTTTTATTTTAACTAGATATATTGTACTGGCAGTTTGCATGATAGACACAAATTATTGCAGGAAAATGCTGTTGATTCGTGGCAAACAGTTGACTGAAATATGATTCAAATTAGCTTAAGAAAGTCTGGTAAACGAGATTTCTGTAAGTCTATTGCTGGTCAATAGCGACAACGAAGTAGCTAAATGTCAAGTATAATTAACCATTCTGTAGACTTATGGAAGCATACACAGAGCCATAGAATGACAACATTAGTAAAATCCTCCCACTCATTGTACTTTACTGCCATAAAATTCACTTACGGGATTTAATGGATAAAGAAATCACAGTTGGTTATATCTAAAATGACAGTCGGTTTTCTGGATGCTCTTAACTGTCTTTCGTGTACAACCAATTCAAGATCGAAAAACTGGTATAAGATTGGAACAAAAGATTCTTTATTCTTATAGTGAATCCATTTCTTTAGTGGTAAATGTATATGTATTTATGTACATAACAATAACAAAATGATAATTTGGATAAGTGTTCTTAATAAAAAGCTTGAAAAGGAAGATGTATATGAGAAGCTTAATGTATTTAACAATACCCACCCCAACTCCTAAACAAACGTAATAAAGATAACAAAACATATATAACAGGAAAAGGATCAAACACAACACAGCTCTTTCGAAAAACAAAGGATGGATGGAGGATGGTCATACAATTCTGAATAAAAATACATTTAACCTAACATTGATATACATATATAAATGCTTGTCGATGTATTGTGGAACAAATGCTACATTTTCTTTGAGTGACGTTTTCTAGCAGTTTTATTTTAACGACAGGTGTAATCACATTTCACTAAGCAACATTGACTTGTATTTACGAAATATGAGATCTAAAATACATGTTTATATCACTCGTCCTAAGGTCATTAAAGCGTCCTGCGGTAAAATATCCGGTACTAATAACCTCGATGTCTTGCACAAAAAGGGTTCATTTTATACTTGTTCCTTTTTCATAGAAACGAAATTCAACATGATACGCATTGAGTTTGTATCTTTAAAGTTACATATTAAAAGTATATAACATAAACTTTAATGTTAAATGCTTTAAAACTATATGCCTACATACTGGACATAAATGATAGATAATCTTGCGATGTTAAATGCCCTAAAATTATATGCCTGAATATTGGATACAAATGCTACTATTTCGACACTATGGTCTCAAAGTAACAGCAAGAAGCAAAACCAACAAGTTTTCTAAATCTTAACAAAAAACATTAGTTATTAAAGTCATAAATGAAAATGTAAGAGGAACTACAATACTATGATGTAAACCCATAATAATCTTGACAAAGTTCCGTGAAAGTCCTAAAGTCCTCAACAGAGAATAAATATACAGTAACTTGAAGGTTTCCTGCGTATCTCCCTCCCACCACCGAAACGGCGGGCTGTCCAAAATATAGCATGACTTTAGTTAAAAATGTACCGTTGTCATGAACTTTGGAAAAAATTTCTTGATGTAAAATTAGATATTTCAACACATATATCAACGTATACAACATCTATCATCAGCAAGGAAGAAGAAAAAGATGTACATAAAGACTTTTTTTAATGCCTAGATAATTTTATTTGTCAACATGCATAGAAATAGGTACTATTGATAACATTTTGCAGACGAAGGTTTAAAGTTTAAAAAGAAAATATTTTGGTATGTATGTTTCCGTTTACAAAGTTTAAAATAATCTTCAAAGGAGGCCAGCAATTTTTATATTCAAAGCTTTCGCTGATAGGCACATCAGTTGAGAACAGCCAATACCATATTAGACTATATAGACGATGTCTCCATTTATTTCGTAGATGTGAGGAAATAGTTCTCGAGTGAAAGAAAATATTTTATTGTCATGAGTGGCGAAGCCAAGAGTGTCAGTAGAAAATACTTTCTCATCACGACTAAAAAAAATTAGATTTTGTTTTTATTTATATATTGTTAAAAGTAAAAGCCGTCGATTTGCGCAGGTTTTCTAAATTCTGTGCCATTTCGATTAAAAACTGTATCACCACCTTGGTAAAAAAAAAAAAAGTTCCAAAATTGGGAAAGCGACGTTTTACAAAATTAGCTTGTACATATCATGCATCAAATTGTCTAGTTTGTCAAACTAATGATTGTATTCGTAAGAATATGAGGACAATATCTTTCATGTTAGCACAGTTCCTGCGCGGATTGATACTGTTGGTCTCTGGTAAGTAGGAACATAACAATGTTAAGGTATTTGATATACGTCAGAGTGTAACAACTTCAAACAAACGATTTTAATGAATGTAAGCTTGCCCGTTGGCATTTCGTTCGTCAATTTATTTATTTCGACATTCAAGCGTAAGTTTTGTGTGGCCTTGGCAAGTTCGCAGTCTAACACGGAGGCAGACGCAAAATCCAAATTTTCGATTGCCACTTTATTTCGGGTTTGCAATTAACACTAATTAACGCCTTATTTATCTATCATTCGTGATTGTGATGCAAACTAAACTACTTTAAAACTGGTATTGATAAACATTTTCTTCTAACACATATGTGCCGTTTGCATTGAATATTACAGGAATACAATACTGGATGGGTGACACAGAAATAGATACAGAGAGAGAGAGAGAGAGAGAGAGAGAGAGAGAGAGAGAGAGAGAGAGAGAGAGAGAGAGAGAGAGAGAGAGAGAGAGAGAGAGAGAGAGAGAGAGAGAGAGAGGAGAGAGAGAGAGAGGAGAGAGAGAGAGAGAGAGAAAGAGAGAGAGAGAGAGAGAGAGAGAGAGAGAG